CTCCAGTCCTCTTAGCAACTTTGTGGCCTCCTCTGCACTTGCTCCAACAGTTCCATGTCCTTCTTATGTTGAGGACACTAGAACTGTGTGCAATATTCCAGGTGGGGTCTCACGAGAGCAGAGTAAAGGGGAAGAATCAACTCTTTTGACCTGCTGCCTACCCTGATTTGGATGCAGCCCAGGATTCCATTGGCTTTCTGGGCTGAGCTCACACTGCAGGTCATGATGAGCTTCTCATTCACTGTCACTCCCAAGTCTTTCTTCTCACTGCCGGTTTCAATTCCTTCCCCACCCAACCTGTAGGTGTGCCTGGGATTGCCATGGCCCAGATTCCTAGAGATCCTGTTTGTCTGAGTCCCTGTGCCTGTTTAAATACAATAGATGCACTCTGTGCTGATACACACGAAGTTATAGGGGACCGATGTCTTTTCAGTTCCTGCAATTTTTATCGCCACTCTTGCCATGAATGCTTTCATGGAAGTCCCCAGCTTCAACTAAGCATTATACAGGAAGTCAAATTTGATTTTGAAATAAGTATCCATTTTCATGCAAAGGAAAGGAAAACTGCTGCCAGGATGCAAAGAAATCTGGAGAAAAGCTGTGATTTTTCTTGTCCAAAACCTCTCACTGGTATTCTGAGTATTTTCACTTGGCCATGCAGAGGGCACAATGTCCAGTCGTGATACTGAGCTCCTCTGCCATGTCCACTGAGGAGCTTTGTCTTGCACATCTGCACACAAAGAGGGGACTTCCCCATGCCACACTGTTGACTGCTTAGGTGTCTTCAAAGGTTTTGGTCTTTGCAGCCTTCTTATGTTCAAGGAACCCAAGCAATGGCATGCTCATTTCTCCTAGGCTTGCGCCATCAAAGCCCTCCAACGCAAGGTGAAGTTGGTGGTCCTTTCCTTGTAGTGCACTTGGGTGTTTTTGTTCCTGATGCAAGGTGAGAACAGTTCACTGGTACCTGACAGTTCTGAGGACCAGAATAGAAATCACTTGAGGAGGCATCTGAGGGGGTTCTCTCTTGGGTGAATCCCTCAGGCCATGCCGTAAGCAGACCAGGCCGAGTGCAGGCACTGCATCTGCACCCCAGAGAACACAGGAGATGGAGTGAAATGGCTGAGTAGGTGTGGACCTCCTACGAAAGTGGCAGTAGACCCGTCTCAGAATGGGCAAAAGCTGTGCTAGATCAAACTTTAAGTAATAGGTAGAGGCAATGTGCCTTCCACTCACTGTACCACGTGGTCCATGATGTGTTGCTGTCATCATTTAGGAAGATTTGCAGTGATCATGCTTGCCTAGTGGCAAGGGAACATGTTGGATGGGATGTGACATAAGGCACATGACAGAGCCTGGGACTTCTCTGCTCAGTGCTTGGCTTCCTCTGGTTTTCTGAGAAACATCTCATGAGTTGGTGCCAATTCCCATGCAAGTCCTCTGGATGGAGACAGTGCCCTTCGGAAGAAATGTGAACGAGTTAGTGCACATCCAAAGTGTGTGTCCAGTCATAGACAGGCTAGACAGGTTCAGGCCAGGGAGGCAGCTACACCCAGCCCTGTTCTTGGCCCCGTGGCTGTCAGAGTGGCAGTCCTGGCACTTTAAGGTGGCAAATCAATTGTACCCCAGCTTCAGCCTGGGTATTATCAGCAGAACACAGGGAGGAACAGATATCACATCTTTCCCCCATGCTGCCCCAGTGCTTTGCCTAAGGAAACCCAGGTTTTCCTGTCTTCAGGACAGACTCTTGTCTCTCATTGACTACTGTAGTGCTAACAGGATGCTGGAGGGTTAAATGCTCAGCAAACCTGAACTGACCACTTGCTTTGTAGAAACCGCATGACACTGTGAGGCTCTTGCTAACCCATGCCAAAGGCTTTGCTTTGAGCTTTAGGGTTTTATTGAAAGTTAAATTCAGCACAGCCAGGTGTAGATGGAGGCTCTCGGGGTCCTGACTAGCTTGGACACCACACAGCTTTGGCTGGAGTTACTGCCCTGAGGCTGAGTGCCAGGCAAGGAGGTCACATAATGCTGTCCCTTAGGTGTCTTTCTGCCTCGCAGCATCATGTATGGTTTGCATGTAGTAGAGTCCAAAGCTGTGTGATGCTTCCCCATCTGCAGCGGGAAGTTGGACCCCATGGCTTTTTTCCAGAGCACTGCTCTTTTTCCATTGTGCCTCTGCTGGATGGGCAGTTAAGGTTTCTCATTATTTTCTGAAGTCTCTCTGTTGATGTGTGAGAGATCTCAGCATAAATCCCGTGGTTCCTCAGACATATATGTGACAGAAAGTTTTGAAAGGTGGCAGAAAGATTTAAAATCTGACTTTGGTCTTTACTTCTCTGTCCTCGTTAGCTCTGTTCTTCTCTGGTGCAGTGCAGGTAGAAAAGCCAGGTAGCTTTCAGAGACACAGCCATTGCCAGCAAGCCCTGAAAATATTCTTTTGACGCTCACTTGCAGATGACAGGAACCCTGGGAGCGTAAACCCACATATTTTCCGCCCCATGGAAGAGGGAGTCAACATAGATTTCCCCAGCACCATACATTCGATCGCCCAGTTCCTAAACTCCACGCGGGAAACCCGAGACCCCAGCATGTACACCCAGCTGGTGGCCACTTTGGCCTTTACCGCCGAAAAAGCCAAGTTTGCCACTGGAAATGAGCGGCAAGAGTGGATGGACTTGTTCATTGACACCTTCAAAATGGTGCACAGTGAGATTGTGGGGGACCCAGAGACTGTGCTAGGGCTGTGCTGAGATCTCTGGTAGAGGTCACGTGGAGGCAGAGGTTGAATGGAGGTGGTAATCATTGTTCCTCGAGTGCCTGTGCGGCAGAGGGGACAGATACATTGGTAGATGCTTTTAGTTAAGGAGAAACAGAGGCAGTGGAATGGCTTGGTTGTGCTCAGCTGGGGATGGGACACAAGGGGCAGTCCCCTCAGCTTGGCTGGCTGATGAGCATGGTGGCTTTCCTCACCAGTGTCAAGGAATGCTCTTGCTTTGCCTGCTGCTTTTTTGCAGAGCCTAACAGTGTGCTTTCCCCCACACCTTCCTATGTATGTCTTTGCTGAACCCCTCTGACGCATCTTCTGCATCCTCTCTCTCAGTTACCACAGGGCTCTCTTTGGGTCCTGCAAGGCTGACAAAGCAAGGTGCATCCCTGCTTACCACAGTGTCTCTGTGGGCAGCTGGGAGAATGGAAGGGAAGGAGCAAGTAGTAGGGGAGAGGGAGCAACCCCCTCTTTCCATCAGGAATACCAACACCTGTGCTTCTTTCAGAAGCTGTGTGAGCTCCTTCAGTCTTCATCTCTGCTTGTACATTTAAGTTTCAGCTGTCTTAATTAACTTCATGTACCTGTCCATATTCTGTTATGTGGGGCCAGGTGGTCCAAAGCAAAGCTCCTTGACTCTGCAGTCACACCTCTGTGTGTTACACGAGCTGTTTAAAAGCAGGTAGTTAAATCTGATGTAGTACAGCCTGTTCGGTCTATACCCAGTGCTGGTTTGGAACACGGACCACAGACCTACCAGTTGTGCTGTGGGTATGTGTGTTTAGACAAGGAGTGATGTTTCCATCAGTTCAGCTGCCCTTGGTTTTCACAAAGTCAGGCAGGTGAGTGCCGTTCTCACATCTAGTTTAACTCCTCCCAAGCCATATCTAGAGGTAATGGAATTCTGTGTGTAGACACAAGGGTAGAAGTGTTTACTCTCACTGACATGGTATTATTGCAATAAAGTATACTGAGCAAACATCACATTTAATGGGCAGAAGGGAGCTGTACCATCTTCAGAATTGTGGGTGGGCTGTGATGTTTCCAGATGTATAAAGCTGAGCCAGTTGCCAAGTTCAGGCAACTGCCCACTTTGAACTTACTGCAGTGTTCTCCCAAAGGGTCAGCACTTTTTGCTACCAGTCTATAGGGACAAGTTGCTCAGAGAACCGCTATCAACACAGAATAGAGGGAAAAGAGGGCCGAGTGCTTTACGTGATGTGCTTCATGTTTTATGTGAAAGGAAAAGGATCAGCCTTTGCCTGAGTCTGGTCATAATTCACATATTGCAGATAATCTCTGCAAAGCCAAACTCCTTATTGTGTTTAGATTTTTACCCCAGAAGTCGTGTGACTGAGCCTGCTGGGATGCAGGACTCAACTCAGAGTAGTTAAGCTGCTCCAGCCATGATGCCGGAGGGACAGCCCCAAACCTCACTGATTTGTAGAGAATATCCTAGAGCTGGAACTTTTTACCGAACAAAACAAGGATTGGGGAAGATTTCAGCAAATGGGTTGTTGATTTCATTTAATTTCATCACACAGTAGCTATTTATTTCAAATCCCTTGGAAAGAATTCCTAGCAAAACATTGGAAACAAAGTTTTTTACCTCAGGTCATTATGGAGAGGGGAAAAAAAGGGAGAAAATGTCTCTTTGCCTGAGTAATATTTGCATTGACCCTTGTTTGACAGAGGCAAGTGGGAGAAGGGGTGTTTTTTTAGCAAAATCTGAGCTAATCCCTCTCATAAAATCAGGTGGATTTCATTACAACAGCAGTTACTTTAGTGAAATTCTTGGGTAAAGGAAGGACACAGATAAGGAGCTGGGTGAAGCACGGTCGATACCTCCCCAAAGACACAGGAGAGGCTCAGAAAGAGGGAAACCCCAGAAAGGGAAAGTCAGTCCCCATCTCACTTTCGTCTCTACTGTCAACACCATGAAAGAATAGAGGAAATACAAGTTCCCCAGGTTTCAGAAGGAGCGGGAACATGCTGTGAATGGGTGGGGTTACTCTGCACATGCATGTAATTAGTTGGGTTGCTCATGGCAGGAAAATCAATGGTATTTCTGCTTTTTTTTTATGCTGCCTTCCTTAAGCATCCTCAGCTGTGCAGTATGGTGAGCAACAGGCATTCCT